TATCCAAATTATAATTTATACTTACATACTTCTTTTTTTAAAGAGCTATCACATCATTTCTTCATTACATAAAAAAAAAATTTCCTTTTTTTTTTTTGTTTGTTTGAATTTATAATTATTTTTTAGCATTTCCTAAAAGAAAAACAATAACCAAAAATCAATTTTAAAAAGAATAAGGAGGGGAAAAAAACCTGATAATTATACATATATATATATATATATATATATATATATATATATATATGTATATATAAATAGTTTAGATAAATTGTAATTTTTTTTTTTTTTTTTTTTTGTTAAATTTTAATTATTATATTAAGAGCTTCTTCTGTAAATTATAGTAAATTGAATTTATTTCTATAGATAGAAAAAATTTTAAATGGATGTACTATTATGTAATAACAACGATAAATATGTATAAAAAAAAAAAAAAGTAATAATAATAATAATTATAAAATTATTAATATAAATTTTGTTTATATAATATTAATATCATTAAGCGCCATCTTGTATTATTAAATAAACAGAATAATAGAGCGTTCGATATTCTTATTTCTTTTCTTTTAATTTCTTTTTTTTTTTTTGTAATGATATTGTTAATTTTAAATAAAATTTCAATTTAAAATCAAATTAATATTAAAATTTTCTAACTCATTATATTATCGTACCTTAATAATTAATCGAAAAAATCAATTTAATAATATAAATCCCGCTTCGTTACAAATCTCTTACATTAATACGGGAAAAAAACAAAACAATGGAAGATAACCGCCACACCGCCTTCTATGAATTTTCAAATCTCTCTCTCTCTCTTTCGATATATCGATATATCGAACGGGGAATAAATTCATTTGTTTTATTTACATATGACGTCATAATCACATGATTTTTCTTTTGTCGTATTATTTATTCGAAATTAATATATTTTTTTGACTTTTTTCAACATTAAAATCGTTTTGAAAACTTTTTCGTCGCATTTTATTACATAATATTAACTTAATTATCATTATTTTATATTTAAACAATAAAAACAAACGCTTATAAATGAATTACGCTTAAAATTCTTAACTATTGTTTGGGAAATTACATTATTCTGATGCAGATTAAAATAATTTTAGTTTTGAAAAGGTCAAATTTTTTTGGATTTTCATTTTTTCTATATTTTATATTAAATGCGACTAAATGGCGTCATGAAATAAAATTAATATATATATATATATATAGTTATGTAAAAAAAAAAAAATTTCTTTTGTGACATGACATTACAACACACAATTTTAAAATTATTTTTAGCATTAACAACAAAAGTATGGGAGGGGTAGTGGGGAGGGGGGGTGTATAAAATTAAATTTGTTTTCAAATCTTATTAGTTTAAAACAAAAAAAAAAAAAGATTAACGTAATTTCATTGCCACGTTATTCATAAAACAAAAACAAAATCAAATATGGCTTCTCCTTTTTCTTTTTCCTGTAAAACAAAATCAAAATAATTTAATTATTTGTAAAAAATAAATTTACAGAAAACAAAATAAAATTTTTTCCATTCGAGCGTGTAACATTCATTCATTCATTCATTCATTCATTCATTCATCATTCGAATTGAAAAAAAGAAATTTTTCTTTTATTATTTTTAATTTAAAAACGGAAATCTCCATCTTTGAAATAAAGAAAAAAAAAAAACTTTTTTCTTTCTTTTTCGTTTCCTGTCGAAAAAAATATAAAAAATGATTTCTTTTATATTTTTCATATAAATAATAATAATAATAATAATAATAATAATAATAATAATAATAATAATAATAAATAAATAAATAAAAGAAAAAGAAAATTTTCTTTTTTTTTTCTTTTTTTTCTAAAACTCGGGAAATGACATAAAACATTTCGACCGATTTATATATTTTTTCTTTTTATTCCTTTTCCAGAAAATCATTTTTCGGTCGATGATAATAATAATAATAATTTAATTTGACGCGCCAAAATTTTTTTTTAAATTTAAATAATTAATTTAATTTTTTTTTTAAGAAAAAAATAAAAACGTAAAAGCTTTGAATCGTAAAAAAAAAAAATATAAACACATAAAAATTTATTTATTTTTAATTTAATTTAACGGTTTTTTTTTTTTCACGACGCGATCGTTACAAATTCGAACGTAAAAATTTTCAAATCTGGAACAATCACTTATTATTATTATTATTATTTATTTATAAATACATAAATAAGATTTTCAATTCGTATATTCTAACGATTTTTCCAAATACTCAAAAAATAATTTTAATTCGTTAATTTTTCATTTGTCGGTTTTCCAAAATTCTAATTCGTAAACAAACGAATGTTTATAAAACAAACGAAGCGCGAATTCGTTTGTTCGTTTGTTTGTTATAAAAAAAAAAAAAATTAAAAAACCAAAAAAAATCCGGAGGGGAGGGAAAAATATAAAATAAAAATTACATTACGTTATGAATAGGGTAAAACCAAATTAATGACGTCGTTTTTTTCTTTAGTGGCGGTTGAAAATAATGACGTCATTTTAACAAAACGAAACCGAAAACTTTTTTTTTTTTTATAAAAACCGGCGCCAGAAATCTTTCGAATCGGGTTTTTAACATTATGTAAAATCCGTTTTTTTTTTTTTTTTTTTTACTTTTTTTTTTTATTGGACGAAAAGGATGAGAAAATTTTCTTTTATCATTATTATTATTATTATTATCATTATTTATACTCTTTCTCTCGCTTTTTCCACCCCCGCATTAACAATAAAACTAATATCGATTTTAAATATTACATTTAATTATTTATTTTATTTTATTTTTTGTTCCCTTTTCTATCCCTCTCTCACCCCCTCTATCTCTACATTTTCTCTCTCTCTCTCTCTCTCTCTCTCTCTATCTCTCCCCATATCACGACATATAAATTTATTATTAAATGAAATAAAATATTAAAACAAACATAGAAAACAAAAAAAAAAAATTTTTTTTGTTTCGTACAGTTTGGGCGTTTTGCCCCGTTTCCCCCCCCTCCCCCCATAAAAATGCGGTTTCGATCCAAAAAAAAAAAAAAAGAAAAAAGAAAATGAAAATTTTCCATCCTTTCATTTTTTTTTAATTTTAAAAAATTCTCTAAATGTTTAACTTAATAAGCGAAACATTCATTCATTCATTCATTCAGTCATTCATTCTCCAGTAAACGATTTTTTAAAATTAAAAAAAAAAAACTTTGGAAGAAAAATTCGTTGCAACAACAGCACCAACAACAAACAAACAAATTTTTTTTTTATATTAAAAAGGATTTTCATAACGTTTGTTGTGTTTGTTCGTTTGTTTGTTTGTTTTTTCAACCGTAAGAATTTTTATAATAATAATAATAATAGCGATAACTTTTTAAAAAAATTATTATTATTATGGTAAAGTTTTTTTTTTTTTTTTTTTTTTTTTTTTAGATTTTAAGAAAAAAATTATCGATTCTCATAAATTTGTAAAAAAAAAAAAAAAAAAACAAATTTTCCTTTTTTTTTGTTTGTTTGTTTGTTTGTTTTGTTTGTTTTATTTTGTTTCGATTTTTAAATTTCATTCATATCCTTCAAACCAATAAAAAAATAAAAATGGATGGATAAAAAGTAAAAAATATATAAAAGGCGGGGAAGGATAAAATCTCCAGAAAGTCTAGACAAATGATGTTGCGCGGTATTTCTTTTATTCTTTCCCCTACCCCCTACCCCCCCCTTAACTTCCCTCGCGATGTGAGTGCCAGAATTGAAGAGGGGAAGGGAGGAAGGGGGGCTCCAGTAAAAATTCGTCCACATTTCTCCAGGGTATATATATATATAAGAAAAAGATTATTGAAAAAAATAATCAGTTTGAATTTGTTTCCAGGAAGAAAATTTGTGAGTTAAGTGAGGGATTATTTATCAAAAAGGTAACAAACACTCACACGAAGACAACAACCACAACAACAACAACAAACGATCATTTTTTTTTTTTTTAAATTAAAGTGAAATTTTTAATTTTTTTTTTTTTGTTTGTTTTAGTTAGTTACACACACAAACACGTCACACGTTTTGTTTTGTTGTGTTTTTGGAAATTTTTGTTTGTTTTTGTACAAAAAATAAAATAATAATAATAATAATAATGAAAAAAGCATTTGCCGTTTGTTTTGTTATTCTCATAACCGTTAATTTTGTTTCATCGAGATGGTTACCAACGAGGAGTCAAGAAGATAGATTGGACAAACTAAAAGAAATGTTAAAAGATGTAAGTATACATAAATTACTCTCGTTTGTTTTGTTTGTTTTGTTTTCTGACATTTTTTGTTTTAAATTGACAGTTACTCGAATCGGAAATAGAAAGAGCTAATATCGAAGGTAAATATATGTACAAAAGAGATGTCAACACTCAAATCGAATCAATTCAACCGAAAAACGACCATGATGATAAAAAATTATTTAAAGAAACAAACAACAACAACAAACAACTCGATACAAAATCTCAATTATAAACAAACAAAACTAAATCTATCATTTATGAAAATTAATAATAATAATAATTTTTTTCTTATTTTCAAATTTATAAAAAAAAAAAAAAAAAGAAAAACGATTTTTATTTTTTTTTCCAGTTAAAAACAAAAATGGCGTCGTCGTTCGTTGTATACAAAAAAAAAAAAAATTTTTAATCTTTTCAAAGCTTATATCAAACGATAATCGTTTTTCTTTTTTTCCATTTTCCTTTTCATTTTCTTAAAATCTAAATAAATTATTAATTATGTTTTCATTTCATTTGATTAATTAAAAATAAATAAAATGTTATTAATAATAATAATAATAATAATAATATTGTTTAAAATATTTTAAATTAATAAAAAAAAAAAAATTTTAATTAATTTGTGTTGAGACTTATTTTTCTTTTTTTAAATATCCTTCCTTCCTTATTAAATAACTTAAAATTAAAACTATACATAATTTATTTATTAATCCGGTTTTTTTTTTAATAAGTTAAATAATATTCTATTTGATAATAATAATAATAATAATAGTTAAAAGAAAAAAAAAAGAAGTTTTAAACATTCATTCTCGAAAAATCATCGTAAAAGGAAAAATCTTGTAAAAGTTTGAAAAAACTTATCTGGTTTAAATGTTTAAATAATAATAATAATAATAATAATGGGAATAAGGTAAAGAGTGTTCCTGCTGGAATGTCTGTTGCGAATGGAAATGGTAAAATTCTGAACAATCAACGAATTCACACCGATAAGATTGTACCAGCCGAAGATTGGATCCTATCATAAAGCATAACTTCGGAAAATGATGAAAAACTAATAATGGAAGTATCTGAACAAGCGGAAAAGACACTAAAAACAAAAATGAGGACTCAAATATAACAATTTCGAAACCGGAAATGATTCCGATCATGCCGTCGGAAAAGTGTTAACACCCATACCACACACAATAATGAGAAATTTTTAAAAAATTTTCGAATTCCAGGAAGAAATCCTGTAGGAAATTCCATATCGTATAACGATTCACATTTTCGGGAAATTCTATAAGTAATATCATCAATATTCAAAAATTTATTTTAAAAAAAATCGGGTGAAAACCTGGAACGAATGCATAAAATCTCATAAAACAAAAAAATTGAATAATAATAATAATAATAATAATTGTGACGTCAAATTCATCGTCTTCTGTTTTAATTAAAAAAAAAAAAAACAAAAAATTTTCTCACATTAATAATCACTAGAATTTATATATTTTAATTATTATTATTATTATTATTATTATTATTATTATTATTGGAATT